TGACAGCATCTGTTTACCCTCCATCTAATCTCTCTCCTTTATGTAAACTGTTAAAGGATACATTTTAAAAGAGGATAAAATCACGACTCATACAAATACAAAATGAACACATGTCAAAGATTTTATTTAACTCATGGAACTAGTAAGATATTACTACTAGTTCGGAAGAGAACTCAAAGTACCACATATTTTACAGTCAAATAAGGAATGCTGAAATGGATGCAAAGCTGGTAATATCTATAGGATGATAATTAATTACATGTTACCAGGTACAATTTGCATTTCTGTGGACAGAAATTATTTACATTGCCATCAATTTTGTACGAGTTAACTTCTGCCTCTACAGGGTTGTGAAATAGTGTAGTAAAGGACAAAGGTAGAGATAATCCAATGAATCACTTAGACAAGACACAGTTTTTCCGTGTGTGTGTGTGTGTGTGTATGTGTGTGTACACGGATATATATGTAGATGACTGATTTTTTTCCTGCATCTTTAAAGTAAGATGAAGACATTATGATTCTTCACCCCATGCATCTCCTAAAACTGACATTCTTTTACATAATGACAATAATAACATCACACCTAAGAAAATAAAAAATAGTTCTATAATATCTTCTAATATCCAGTTTGTTTTTAAATTTCCCCAAGAGTCCCAAGATTCTTTTAATATCTTTGTGTGTGTGTTGAGACAGTCATAGCTTCTTTATTTCAGGCTGTTTAAAAATTTTGATGAGCTAATTCCTCGGGATTAAATCTTCTGGTGACTAATCCTGGTGGCCTTTCTTGTAATATTTTGTTTAGTAATCTTTCTGAAACAGATCAAATGCTTTAGGCTGTTGTCCTCCTCCCAAGAGAGCCATGTCACTTTCATTAACGTGGCATGAACTGTGTACCCTGTGCCTAAAGGAAATGAACCTATGGGCCCTTTACTTCTTATGCAAAAGAAATTATCTGTTTTATGGAGCTGTTAATCAGCCTTTGTATTGATTGTACCCTTGCCTGTGGGAATTCTCAGGGAGAAGGAAAAATTAACTAGAATAGAATAGTCCATTCCTTTGGGACGGAAAGGAAGAATGGAAATTCAAGATAAAATGAGAGGGCAGGGAATGTGGACATGCTTTTAGCATCCCTGAAGTTGATTTCTGTTTTTTGAGTTCCAGTGTGAGAGCTATATAGTGTTGAGTTCTTCATGACTTAGGCAGCTTTTTTTTTTTTTTTTTAAATAGCCCTCAGTTCTCCTATATATAAAACAAGGATTTTGATAAAATATTTAAAAGAAATTTAATTATAGATCTTGCTTATAGATATTATACAATTATTATAACCACTTCCCTTAATTCTGTGCCAAAGGCTAAATTTCTAAATCTGCTAATGTGTTGGAGGTTCCCAAGACCACCTCCAGGTTTGGTGATTCAATACAAGGATTAAGAAGACTCAGCGTATAGTTGTACTCACGGTTATAATTTATTACAGCAAAAGCTACAAAGCGAAATCAGCATAAGCTTCCAAAAGTACCTTTGCAGTGGAATCACACAAGACCAGTTTAATTCCTCCAGTGTTGAATCGTGAATTGTGACAACATATGCAGTATTGTCTACTAGGGAAGCTTATTAGTGCTCATATTTTTTATTAGAGGTTGGTTACATAAGTACCCTCTGCCTAGCACCTCTCAAAATTCCAGACTCGCAGAAAGAAAGTAGCTGTTCAGTATAAACCATATTGTTTATACAGTTAGGCCCAGTGATTCACTCTTATCAGTCCTAGGGATGGTGGGAACCCTCTGAAATTCAGATTCCCAGACACCTGCCAAGGGTCAACCTTTCAAGCAAGCCTTTCTAAGGAAAGCAGTCTCAGGCCTACTATGTTAACTTTTTCATACACAACTAGCCTTTTTCCTTTCCTCATGCTATGCAAATCAGAACATTCAAAGAATGCTTGCATCTTCTCAGTAACAAATTTATTCAGATGTTATATAACACTGGCAGGATATGTGGGGAATGGGGGAGGCAAAAAAGGATGTTGTGTGTTTTGGGGATTTCTTTTATTTTTCTCTTCCCTGGGTGAGTACTTTTTAATTTCTATATGAAACCATTAGTATTTGTCAAAAAGAAAAAAGAAATTCAGGCTTATTGCTAAGTATGGTTTGTAAAATTGTACTCTAAAAACCGTACTGTGTGCTCCTAAGTGATCTTTTTCTATTAAAAAATACACCAGTTCCTAAAGGGCAACCCATGGAACGGGAATAAATTTTTGTGAATCATATACCTAATAAGGGACTTGTATCTGGAATATATAAGGTACAATTACAATTCAGTAATGAAAAGACAACCCAATTTTAAAAAATGAGTCAAGTATCTGAATAGACATTTCTCCAAAGGAGATATACCAATGGCCAGTAAGCCCAAAAAACATGTTCAATATCATTAGCCGTCAAGAAAATATAATCAAAACTACAATGAGATACTAGGCTATACTAGATACCAGATTATAGACACTAGGATGGCTATAATCAAAGACACAGATAACATGTGTTGGTGAGGATATAAAGAAATTGGAACCCTCATACACTGCTGGCAGGAATGTAAAATGGTGCAACTGCTTTGGAAAACAGTCTGACAGTTCCACAAAGCATTAAACATAGAGTTACCGTATGATCTAGCAATTCCACTCCTAGGTATATACCCGAGAGACATGAAAACATCTGTCTATCCAAAAACTTATACAAGAATGTTTATAGCAGCATTATTTATAATAGCCCAAAAGTAGAAACAGCCCAAACGCCTATCAACTGACGAATAGGTAAGCAAAATGTGATGTATCCATTTTGGATACTACTTAGAATACTACTTGGCAATAAAAAGAAATTAAGTACTAGTACATGCTACAACATGGATGAAGCTTGAAAGTATTATACTAAGTGAAAGAAGCCAGTCACAAAGGACCATATAATGTGTGACTCTATTTATAGGAAATATGCAGAATAGGCACATCTGTAGAAATAGAAAGTAGTGGTTGACTGGAACAAAGAGGATGGAGAACAAAGAGGGGGTGGCTGCTAAGTGATGTAGGGTTCCCTTTTGGAGTAGTGAAAAATGTTCTAAAACTGATAGCAGTGATGGATGCACAGCTCCGGGAATTGAATAGTGTGTGAATTATATCACAATAAAGCTATTAGAAAAATATACCCATTCTTAAGAGAAAATAAAGTAAATTTTTATTTGTCCATTTTTATCAACAGCTGACCTACAATAGTCAGGTACTTATTAGAATTCATATCTTAGATTTTTAGACATGATGAGTCAGTTACCAACTGCATTGGAATATTATCGGTTCATTCTGGAGAATGTGATTAGGAAATGCAATTAGGAAAATCCAAAGAGAAGTGACACTGTATTAGAAATATTTGAAGCATTTTCTACTTTGCCATATGATATACATCTATGTCTCTGTTAGGTATCTCAGTTTAGAAATAAACCTCCATTTTCCTCATCTAGAACTTAGCCACATATGTTGCCTGAGTAGGAACTGAAGGTGGGACTTCTCATTAAGGAGTCTTTGGCTAGAAGCTTTTCTCCTAGGTGGGTCTAAGTGGCAAAATGCTAAGGAGGAGATGAGCTCATCCATTAGCTTTTGAATATTATTAAGTCATATGGATTTGAATCGGCTTGTATATGGGTAAAGGAAATGAATTATCTTCCCACTTGCTTTTGTTTCATTCAGAATTCATCAATTCACTTAGCTATAACACTAAATAGTAGGTACATCTTTATTTAGTGATCTTACTGACATACGTTTCCTGTATATTTTTCCATCCCTTTTAGCTTACAGCTAAGGAAGGCATGACTGAGAAATGCAGTCTGTATTCCATTTAGGCTGGTGCTTTACATTAGTCCCGTGTGCGTGTCTGGAATAGAAAAAGAATTATGAGGCATCTGGGACAACTTTCTTATTCCTCCTGAGTCAGGTTTTCATAGTGACTTTGGTCTGTTTTTTGAAGCATTGTACATTCTTAGCCAGATCATCCCTCAAACTCATATTCAAAGGCAAATATCAAAGTATATCCTAAAAGCAAATATAAATGAATTTTAGATTGGATGTCATTTTAGGTGATTCACATCACTGCTCCCCTCATCATCACAAATCATTCCTGCACACTTGTCAAAGGAATGGGAAACTTTGACTCAGTGGGTGTTTCAGAAATAAATAACACATTTTAAAAATTTCCCAGAGATGACTTTGTTATATATCTTGAAATCTCATCGAGGACATGCCTCACCACAAAGAACAGAGATGCTGATGACGGTGAAATCCTATACCTTTTAGTCACCCCCTCCCACATTACTGTACCCTTTCCTTTCGGAAGTTGTACTGTGTGACCATACCGTGATGTGCTCTTCAGAGGGCACAAGAGATCTGGTTTCTTTTGTGACCTACTCTCTGAGATCCTATGTTTTAGTACTGTGTGTGACATAGGACCAATGACCAGATAGGCTATTTCTTTTTGTTTCTGCGATTGATGTGATTGTAAATCTCTTAGGGGATTTTAATACTGTTCAATCTGTATTTAAATCTGTATTTAAACAATAAGAAGTATGACTGTTGGCAGGAATTATGTGTTTGAGAATGGCCAGGAAAATAAACACCTAAACAACTTCATAGAGCAGGTGAGAATAAATCTTTTAAGCAAAATGTATCTGTCTTCATCTGTTCCCCAAGTAACTGGTGCCAGGAAGCCAAACTGCCATGAGTGTGGATATTATGAATTAGTTTACTAGAGAAGCTGATTGTAATGCTAGCATGGTAAGGGGCATTCTCTCAATCTCTCTCCTTATCTAAGCCTGTCATCCCGCAGAGGCCCTGAATGCAGTCTTATAGTATTATGAAGTACAAAACCACACCAAGCAACTCTAGCCAACAGTCATTTGTGGCAATAGAAAGAAGTCAATAGAGGTCTTATCTGTATTTGTTTTCTCTCTCCCATCTCCTGCATCCTTACCAGGCAAAAGTAGAAGAAAAGATCCAAGAGGCCTTCAGTTCTTACAAGTTCAACCACTTTGTACCAAGGTAAGCTGTGGTTGGGAGTTTGAGGGGATCTGGGAGACACCACCTCCTGGGAGAGCCTGTCTTTCCTCCTTGAGCGTGTCCAACCATGGGGGATGAGTCTGCTGTGCGACTGATGTTTCTCGACCTTGTGGTTACCTGGATGTGCTTATAACCTCAGCTTCTTTCTCTATTTGAATGCTGTTTAGAGGAGATGCTCCACTTGAACTGAGCTGTCAGGCGTTCCATGAGGACACCCTTTGAGGCCTGAACTCAGGGGTCTGAAAGTGGAGAGAGGAAGTTTATATTTCTGTTGCTTATTGTAACCTGCTGCTCCGGTGTTCAGATCAGAACTCTCAAGTTTTTATTTTTCATATTATACTTTGAAACAGATGTAGGACTTGGGGATGGCAAAGGAAGGGTTCTTTAGATGTATATTATTATTTGACTGGGAAACTGAAACCATCCTGTGTCATATTTTCAGCCATCAGAACCGATGTGTAGTCCAAAACTATGTGTGATCGTCATTTTATCTTAATGATGCAACACTTTTTCTTGACAATCTCTGAACAAAGTATAGTTAGGCCATTGGCTGATTCACTCTGAATGGGAAGTGAGGGTATGAAATCTAGCCTAACCACTTTTATGGTGTCTCCTGACTTCCTGACACCTCCTAGCAGACTAACTAGGGGAAGTCAATCTCTGGGTACTTCTTACTAGAACGTTATAAATGGTTCTAGCCAGAGTTAACTTTGTGTCCTTTTTGCCACGATTTTATTTTGCTATTTTTTCCTTGAAAAAACAAAAAAAATTCAGTCAGAAAATTCTAATTAGCCAAAGCAGAAAACAGTTGGAAAAGGCACATTGGAAAAAGCGGAAGATAGGTAGGAATGTTATCTTTGCTTTCCTTCCCTAGGGATGGGAAGAAGGAAAATATCAACTAACAAGAGGAGTCTCCCCCAAACTGCTAAACTGAACCTTCGCACTCACCCAAAGCTCAGGCCTTGGTAATGAATTATGGCTCTTGTGATGAGTCACGGCTAGAGATTAGCAGATGGCACCGTTTGTTTAAATAGCTCAGGGAGAATGAGCTCTCTGCCCTGTCCAGGCCATTTCCCCAGAGGTGGTGGGACTTGGGGATGGTCGGGGGCGTGATTGGTGTAGGAGAGGCTTTGTAGTTAGCAGTTGCATCCCCATGACTCACCTGACTGAGCTCTGAGTCATTGTCTACTGGATGCAGCTCTGTGTACACATGTCCTTTGTGTTTCTAAAGGGACCATTGATCATCTGACATTCCTTGTTCACCCACCATCAGAATAGAGCCCTTGGACTTTTCTTTCATACTTACTGAGCTGAGAGGGAGAATGGGAGGTTATCGTTTGGGAGGAAGAAGAAGTTGTATTTTGGGAGTGGTGGTAAGGACAATAGAGGAGTAAAACCTCCTGCGTCATAGGTCTTAGGTCAGATGTGGGAGGGAAACAAAAGTGTTCCTCTTTGGTTTGGATCTTTTGTGGACATAGACTATATCAGGGCCCTGGGTTCATTTCAGGAATCTGACATTTTCCCTTTTATCATGGTTGCTTATGAAAATGAATGTTATAAAGCAGGGGTCCCCAACCCCCAGGCTGTGAACTGATACCTGTCCATGGCCTGTTAGGAACCGGGCTGCACAGCAGGAGGTGAGCAGTGAGTTAGCTAGTGAAGCTTCACCTGTGTTTGCAGCCACTCCCCAGCGCTAGCATCACCGCCTCAGCTCCACCTCAGATCATCAGGCATTAGATTCTCACAGGAGCACCAGTCCCTGTTGCCAGAAAGGTTGGGGACCACTGTAATTTGAAAAACGCTAGTGAGCATCTTATTATGTTACAGCATGCTAATGCTAATTAATATTGGAGAGATTATACATTTTGACTGAATGGCTGAGTGTATAAATCAATGTATCAATATAAGGCTGAAGCCAAACATCCTCATCACAGAGCTTCTAAGATACAAGAATAAATCTGAAAATTTATAAAATTAAAATTATTATCACAATTTTAGTATTTAACATTTTAGTAGTCAGATTTTAAAAGTCTGACATTCTAATGTAGGAACAAACCTTTATTGTTGGCCTAAGTGAACACTCAGATATTAGCAATAAGTCTAAATGCCACGGTTTATTTGTTTTTCTGAGATCACAATGCTGATCAGATGTGGTAGAATCACATACACTCCCAGGACCACTCACCACGCACAGGACCAGGGATGCCAGGAATGATGCTGAGGGAGGCATTTGCCTATTCAGCCTTCCAGAGTCATAGCCAAATAGCAGAGTTGGCTGAAATTCAAGGCAGAAGCTGAATGTTGGTACATTCTACAGTTATTCCCCACCCCAGAAATGATTTTCCTCTCTCTAAGTATGTGAAACATGCATCCTATCCTGGATGAGGTGGTTTATCTCAAGGAGCTTTCGACCATGCTTTTAACAGTTTGTTTTGTTTAGCAGCAGCCTGCTTTTCCGTGAAAGTTAATTTTTCTTTCCCAAGCTAGTTATTCTCACTGTTCCCCACACTTATGAATTTTTCCTTTTCCATTGATTACATTACCTTTAGTAAGAAATCTGAAATGCATAAACTAAATAAACACACACTCATACACTCACTCACTCATTTGTAATTTTAAAGTTATTTTATTCCTGGGAAAAGTGGCTTGGAGCTCCTTGGAAGTGAGAAGTATTGATAATGGCCTGTGCTAGTAGAGTGCTGAAGGTTAGGTGTTGACACTGCCTTGAGGCCAAATAAGCTCTCAGAGTAGTTCTCACACAGGTGCCTGCTGTGCTTCCATGTTTTTCTGCCATTTCTGTATGTGATGTTACCTTAGAGTTTTCCAAATCCTGAGCAGTTAGAAGATGTAGTCCTTCATACTGTTGTTCTTTCCAAGGTCTTTACAAAGAAGTTCATTTTCCCTCCTACCCTCCCTCAAGTGACTTATTTCTCACATACCAGAGGCTTATGTTTTGACTAGGGATGCTCCTGGCTTTAGTGGGTTTAAAATCTTCCCAGGAGCCAACCATGAACTGAATCTTATTCCTCTTCATCTGTCACAACTGAAGGCACGGTTCTTAGGGACGGTCCAGGTTTAGGGAGAGGAAGTGTGTTAGCTATCATTCAGTCTGCTGTATTCATTTAAAGTCATTCATTCCTTCACTCCTTCAGCATCAATTTGTAGAGGGTCTCCAAAGGGCCAGGCACTATGCTAGGCTCTGGGAACAGTGAGCAAGGACAAGCCAAGTCCTGCTGGGCTGTCAGTCTCATCAGGGAGGTGGCCATTAAACAACCAAATGCAAATACATAGTTACCAGTGGGATGAGTATCAAGGAAGAGAATGGGATGCTCTGAGAGAGAATAATAGGGAGGATGTAGTTCATGTTGGGAAGTCAGGGAAAGTGTCTTAATCCATTCCGGTTACTATAACAAGTTACCATAGACTGGGTGGCTTAAACAACAGATATTTATTTCTTACAGTACTGGAGGCTGGGAAATGCAAGAAAGACCAAGGCACCAGTGGGTTCGGTGTCTGGTGCAGGCCCAGTTCCTGTTCACAGATGGCATCTTCTCCTTGTGTCCTCACGTGGTGGAAGAGTTGAGGGAGCTCCCTGGGGTCTCTTTTATAAAGGGCACTCATCCCTTCATGAGAGCTCTACCCTCTGGTCTTAAACACCTCCCAGAGGCCCCACCTCCAAGTACCATCACACCAGGGATTGGGATTTCAACATACGGGTTTTGGAGAAACAATGCGAACAGTCAGCCTATAGCAGAAAGCTTCTCAGAGAAAGTGATTCTTGAACTGAGACCTGGAGGGTGAGTAGGAGTTTTCCAGTTTAGGAGGTGGTGGGAGGGGGCCAGGCAAAGGGAAAGCAAGAGCTTAAGCCCTGAGACTGAAAAGAGCAGAGTGCAAGAAGGCAGGGTGGCTGAAGCTCAGCGAGTGAGCTCGGAGAGAAGTAGGTGGAGGCACATCGTGAAGAGTCTCGAAGCCCAGTGGGCTCTCTCAGAGTGAATACGATTTACATTGCTGCCCAGTACACGTGTTTCTGAGTTCCTTCTCCAACAGTGGAACCGGACTGCCAATATCCTTAATGTGTTTACTTATTTGATCATTCCTTTTGTGTGTCCCAATCTCCCAGCCCCCTCTGCACAGCTACATGGATGCCCTCCTCACCCATTCGAGCGCTGATACCCTGCATCACCCTCTCAAGATGTGAAGAGCCCATCTTGTCTCCCACCTAATTGAATGGCTTTAGGGCCGAGTTGTTCAGGAAGGAACAGGAAAGAGCTCTAGCTTTTTTTTTTTTTTTTTTTAAACTCCCTACACAGAAAAGATTCTCAGAGAGATGTATAAAACTAAAAACTAAGGGTATTAGTTTGCTAGGGCTGCTGTAATCAAATACCACTAACTGGGTGACTTAAACAACAGAAATTTATTTTCTCTGGAGGCTGGAAGTCCAAGAGCAAGGTGCCAGCAGGGTGGGTTTCTCCTGAGGTCTCTCTCCTTGGCTTGCAGACGGCCGTCTTCTCACTGTGTCCTCACATGGCCTTTCCCTGTGCACGCATCCCTGGTGTCTCTTCCTCTTCTTTTGTCACCAGACATCATTTAATCTTAAATACCTCTTTAAAGGCCCTCTTTCAAATGCAGTCACACTAGGGGTTAGGACTTCAACACATGACCTTTGGGGGACACGATTCAGTCCATAACAGTACGGCAATGCAGTTTCTGGATGACCAAAAGAGGTTTTATATATGTCCTTTCAATTGAAAAAGAATCATAACCTCAAAGGAGAAGTTAATACTCAGTCAGTTAGCATTGTAGCCCTTGACTTTAGATAAACACTCACACTTTTTCCAGGATTTTAGAGTAACATGCATATTTGTGTGTGTGTGTGTGTGTGTGTGTGTGTGTGTTTGTGTTTATGTGTTTATGATTAAGTGGATGAAACTGAATGAGAACACTTTCTCTGGTGGAAATGGTCACTGTAAAGCATTTCTCTTCCTCTGCCTGTGGCTAAAGTTGATCTTGAGATGAAACCAGAGAAAGAAACTCTCTCCCAGCAGGACTCCTAGGGCCTGGTTGTCCGTGAGATTCAAGATGCGGGGAGAGCTGTTGGGGAGCCCCTTTGGGCTGCGTCAGGTCCTGTCCCTAGAGAACAACCTGGAGCTATAGAAAATGTGACTGAGGCATCTTTCAACAAGATGTTTCTGGGCAGCTGAGGCTTCAGGTGGTTTCTCGTCACTTCAGTAATCCTGAGGAGTGAGCCAGTGTCTCTTACTCCCTAGAAGTAGAAAAGCGTTTGCCTCTGAGGTCTTTCATTTTCTAGTGACCAAAAAGCCCCTTGTCAAGTGGGAGGAGTGCTGAGAAGACAAGAAAAGGGTTCCTTCTCTAGGTTTTTCTTTTCCTTTCCTTTTATTTCCAATAGGGGGAAGAGTTGTTTAGTTGCCTAATTCAGCTCTCCAGAAGTACCAAGTCCCATAGCAAAGGTCAACCTGTGGCCGATGGGTCTCCTGCAGTGTGATGTGTGTGTGAACACATGAGAAAACTGACAGAACGAACCTCTGAGCCAGAGCACGTATGTTCTTGAGTCCAGTCACCTCTCTCCATGGCATCTCTGTTGGATTGCATTTTAACCTGCACTTGGAGAGTTATCATCCTGTATATTGAAAAGGAGAATAGGCAGAAACTGTCCTTACCATCTTTTGTTCTTTCTTGTGTTCATCCGACAAATAGATGTCAGCCTGCCAAGCACAGATGCTGGAGACAGACATGCGGTCCCTTCACAGAGTTACAAGGCAGTGGGGTAGGCAGGCCTGCTGAATGGATAATTCCACTAAGCACACCCTCTTCTCACCTGGTTCCTTGCCCCAGCATTATACTTAGGGTCACAACGTTTTATTTACAAAGAGCCTTTAACAATGTCTTGCCTGACATTTCCAAACGAGGTGGCTAGAGTTCTCCTTTGGAACAGAGTGCTTTCCCCTCTCCTCTCTATGTCTTAGCATCTCGGTACTTGGTGTATTCAAATTCCTTTGACTTTTAGACATAAAAGAATTGACCTATAGAAAACCCCACTGTGAGTCAGGAGTTTTGCCTCCAAATTCTGTGCTCGCCCTCACCTGGCTTGGGTTTCTCAGCCTCCCTTCACTTCTCGAGTGGATCTCTGCCTGCCTGCATTAATGGTCTCTTGGACCCACCTGGTTCTTCCTGTTCATCATACCCATCCTGCCCACACCCAGCCTGCCCAGCCTGGGCCAGCATGTCTCATGCACTATTTCAGCAATTCCCTGATCTCGGTCAGTTCCCTAACACCTCTGCCTTTCTGCTCTTCCCATCTTACCAGTCCCTACCATAGCATCCCCATCGCTATTTCTGCTGAAGGATCCCAGCAAGATTTCCTGGAAAAAAGATCATATAACACTGCCTATTGAATGGCCTCACCAAAAGTTTATACTTAGCTTAAGCCTTCACTACTGCTTTCTAATCTTTTTAATCATCTCATGTAGATTCCCTAACACATTCTCCACAGTGGCCAATCCACAGCTCTCCTGTGGTCGTCCCTTAATTCCTGAGAAAATCGAGGCCATCCTCCATGAGTCTCCTTGGTTTCTCTCTTCCCCACCACAAACTCCCGTATTTGTCTAACTTGACACTCTCTCCCATTGCTTCTGTCTCTGAGGCTGTAGAATCCCTCCTTGCTGCCAGGCTCACCTGTCCTCCTGACCCTCCTCCTTCAGCCCTCCTCCTTCCTCTTCAGGGACCTTCCTTGATGGATTTTCTCTGGGCTCTTGCATTTTCCGAGTCTCCCCTTTGCTTTCAAGCATGTTCACCTCTCCTCTATCTGAATCACCTGCCTTCACCCCAGGGCCCCCTCAGGCCAACTGCTCTGCTGTCTTTATTTCCTCACAGTCACCACAAACACTCTTAGATTGTGGATTTGGTTTCCGCCACTAGTCTTATCCCCACTCCAGTCCATTCAGTATGCTGCAGCTGGTGTGATCTAGAAAATGCGAATCTGCCCATGTCTTTCCTGTGTCTAAAATACTTCAATGACTCCCTTAAATTTTTTTCCTTTTTTTTTGTAACAGCTTTAATGAGATAATTAATATATCATACAATTCACCCATTTAAAGTGTACAATTCAGTGTGGGTTTTTCTTTTTTTTGTATATTTAGAATTGTACAACTGTCACCATAGATAATTTTAGAACATTTTCACCACTGTCTTGTCCCCTCCTTGCCATCTCTACCTACAAAAATCTTCTCCCTCTACCAGGCCCCCCGCCCCCACCCTTCCACACAACCTTTCCTGATCATTTCCTTCTTTCTCAATGAAGTGAGGTACCCCCTCCCTTTAGAACCTCGGTAGTATTTCACCTGTGTTTCCTTTATGAAATCTACTCATTTTTTTCTTATATTGTTACCACCTGTGTCCTTATTTCAGTTCCAGTTCTGAATTGGAAGGCTTTTTGAGGTAAAGACTATATGAATGATCTTATTCTGTGCACAGTATAGTGGGAGTTCAGTAAACAATTATTGAATTAAATACCTAGAAAAGAGAATGGTTCTTTTATTCTGAAATCAGTAAGAACAGTGAAGGTCTTGCCATTCTGTTTTTGTTCTTCCTTCTGTAATCACACAGGCCTCTGCTGCGAAACCAAACATAAAGGGCATCCCTGTCCTTTGCCTGCCTGTGCAGGTGACTATGGGTGGCACCTTCCGTCTTAGAGCCAGTATTGCTGACATCGGTGCCAAGGAGAGCAACTAGCTGCAGAGTACAAACGATCCTCTGGCCAGGGCTGTGGGTCCACATGTCGGAGGTGGAACTTCAGGGAGGGAATAATAGATAGCTAAGGGGCAGGAGGCAGGGTACAAGGGACGCCAGAGAAGGGACCCCCAGAAGAAATGACTGGAATGACAGAGGCTGACTAAGTCGGCTCACATTTAAATTGCTTCCAGGACAGGGAGCTACCAGATATCTATTTACAGTCAGAGCGTGGGGGAACTTTCTGGGTGGTTTGCCACTGCCTGGCTATACGTGTTCATTGTGGCTTTTCACTTAGCCCAAAGTCACCTGCCATGAAGAAGAGGATCTCACTGAAAACATTTGCCAGTATGTGTGAGCATGCGTGTACACATTTGCGTGCACATGTATTTTGTAGTGGGTGGAAGCGTAAGCTGTTAGAATAGGTTTACAAGCTCTTTGTCTTTCCAGGCTCATTTTGCAGAGGGAGAAGCACTTCCATTACCTGAAAAGAGGCCTTCGACAGCTGACAGATGCCTATGAGGTAAACACACTGTTCAGGAGCTCTTTCTATCGAATTAGCAGCTAGATCGTTCTCCCTTTTTCCTATTTGAACGTAAAAGACTTATGAGCCTGACCTCTCGCAGATTCACTCTTTATACCATGTGGCTCTGGCAGGAACCAGGTACACAGGAACCAGGTTCCTCAGAGCTGGAAGTCTCACCCTGAAAGGTCAGAACCGGATCTCTTCTTATCTTGTCCTCCCTCGGAGTTCACGGAGCACCCTAGATGGGGTGGGTTTTCTTCCTCCATTAGATCACAGCTGAGAGGTTCACATGCTTTCTTCTAGATACCCCTGAAAGGCTACCTGTTCATTCCTAGCCCTTTGCCCTATAAGCTGTCTAATTCCTATGCTGGCCAAAGGATCAGTATATAAATCCCAGAGAGTATTACTGCAGCTTTCCACTATAAACATGCCCACTTTAAAAATCGTATTCCTCAGATCCCTAGGATTCCACGTAGAGACCTTGGGGTGGCCGCAGTGGTGGTGGAGGAGGGGAGGGTGTTGGGAATGGGGCTGAGTTGCAGGCAGAGGGTGAATGTGAACCGGAGGGTGCCGAACTTCCTGCCCTACTTTACAAAGAGCAGCCCTTCTCTTAATTTGCTTTTTATTTTGGGTTGTATATTTGATTATTTACTACAAGGATTGACCAGCTCAAATGCCTAAGACCCAAGTATGTAGCATAAATAAGAGAATCGGGCTGGGGGAAGACTGAGACAGACCAGAGGCCCCATGTTTTTACTCTGTTCCTGCCCATTGTTGCCATCCAGCAATGCAAACCCAGGGTTGCCAGGTCTGGCTCTGTCTGGCTCTCTCTCTTCCTCTCTTTTTTCCAAATGAAGCCAGTAATCCAGATTTCTACGTGAATTTCCTAATGCTTAAGTGTTGCAACCAATTCCAATTAAACACAATTCCAATAAACACAACACTACAGGGAGCGAGCAGAATACATCCATAGCTAGATTTGTCCTTGGGCTCCAAGTGTTTAATCCTTGACTCAAATCCTCGATGGTTAGAATCCAGTCAGCCCTGATGCAATTAATGCCATACCAGCTGACATTTCAATGAACAGTGTGCTAAAAGCTTACCATGCATTATCTCATTAATCCTCACAGTTACTCCATGTGGTAGGTAAGTTTTTACTCCATGGGGTAGGTGAGTATTTTTCCTAGATAAGGAAACAGGCATAGCAAGATGAAATAATTTGCTCAAAGGCACCTAGCAAGAGAAGGAGCTGGGACTCAAACTCTAGGCAGGCCAAATTCATAGCGGTGTCTTCGGTCACCACCCAGACTGCCCCCCAGGTGGCAGGCTAGCCATAGCACATTTATGGAGAGGGTAGCTTGGGCTAATGGAGAGAGCATTGGCTTGGGAGTCCAGAAACCTGGGTTCTCGTTTCATCTCTGGCATTTACTGTCTTTGTAATCTTGGAAAAAGTTTCTCTCTCTAGACCGCATTTGTGTACTTTTAATCTGTAAAATAGGGGCAGTAATACTACCTGCCTGCCCAGGCTTCAATGTTCAATACATATTTCTGGCTTGAATTAGGATCAAGTTCTGTTCATATATCACCTTTGTAAGCCTTTCCCAGCGCCCCCATGTGCTCCCTCAGGACTGTGTTTCTGCCCGTTACAGCATTTATCAAGGTATAGGTACACATGTGTTATGTTGCATCTTGTTCCAGAAAAACATAGGTAATTTCTACTTATGTATCTGTCTGGTGCCCTCTTCCTATACAGATAACTACACACATTCTATATCCCAAGCAACTCAAGAATAGGGACTGAATTTTATTCATTATTGTGCCTCCAATATTTAATACAGTACTTGGCACAAAGTAGATACTTATTAAATATTTGTTTAATCAGTGAATGAGTTAATCCAGGAAATCTCTTTCTGAGATTATGTACCTCTGGGTCTATACTGAGAAAATAGCAGCACTTCCTAGCATGTGAGAAATCCTCTGCTCAACCTTTCTTAGGTGGCTGTTGGGCAAGGACCCTTTGGGTTCAAGGTGAACTTTGTCCCATTTTCCTTTTCTCACATATGGTTCTTTCAGCTCCTGGCTAAGCCCACAAAGCAAAGTGTCCTTCATTCACTGATTGTTCATAGGGTACCCTCCTCCCCCTTGCCAGGCTGCCAGGAGTGAGACAGATGTCTTCTTGTCAGCAGTGTCTTGGAATGATTCTGAATAAGGGGTGTATTTTCTCCCCATCCCTTGCACAGTGTCTGGATGCCAGCCGCCCATGGCTCTGCTATTGGATCCTGCACAGCTTGGAACTGCTAGATGAACCCATCCCCCAGATGGTGGCAACAGAGTGAGTCTGGCTGTGGGGAATCTAAGGTTTTCTCTGGAATTATATTTTGAGTTGGGGTGCTTTTTGTTTTGTTTCTGTTTTATTTATTTTAAATGAAAAATAAGAGTGCTTCAAAGAAATATTTGCTCTTCTCATGACCTCAGTAACTTCCTGAAACTCCCCCTCTTTGGAAGCCTATTGTAAGCTCATGCATAGAAAAAGACTTTGAACTCTCAAGAGAAGGATTCTGATTTCTTCTATAGCCTTTTCTTTTAGCTCTTGTTCTGGTCTATGAGAAAATCCTTTATCATCAACTGTGAGAGACATGATTTTGCCAGAAAGTACAGTATGCTTTTGAATAGCTTTTGTGGGAAAGCATGTGACAACCCAACGAACAAAATGCCTTTGCCTTCCATAAACACCTCCACAGAAGTCCCTCCTCACCAGTGCCCGGGGTACAACGTGGCCATCTTCCCAAACTTTTGGTACAGACGACATTCTCAGTGTGGTACCTCATCCTTAGAAGCTCAATTTATATGTTAAAGAAGAAACTAATTATCACGCCAGTCTTAGGGATACCTGGGGGAGGAAGGGGCAGCCAGGAATTGGATCTAATGCTCCAGTTCTCAGAGAAAGCATGTCCCCTTGGCAGCAACTTGAGTTCATCTACCCCCTGCTGGTGCTCCTGAGGGAGAGGAGTCTGGGAGGGAAGGCCTCTGAGCCAGGTTGGTTTTTCGCAGCACATAGGGGTAGCTGTACCAGTTTGCTTTGAGGCTAGCCTGTGCTCCTCCCTGGCCACAGTGCCATGGGTCACATTGTCAGGTCAGAAGAACAGATCCACTCATTGTCTTATTCATTCTGTCTTAACAATAACCTCTCATTCTTGCCTTCCTGAGCAGGGTGCCTTGTGATAAATGTGGATAGGGAAGATAGTAATTAGGCCATTAACGCTTGTGATGTATACGATGCTTAGAGGGAGAGGGAAAATGTGCATTGCCTTCCTCAACATGATGCTGCCACAGGCCTCGTTGCTTTTAGCTCTGGAAGTAGAGTTGGATACAGTTTTTGCAGTAACAGGAATTTGATTGTCAAAGTAAATCCCCGTGTGTTTTTGAAATACCAGTTGGAGGTTGTGGATTGTTAGGGAAGTTTCTCCCCCATATATAACACAATCAGGATGTGCAGGAATGGGAAAGTTGCATGTGTGAGAAGAAAAAGGAAATGGGATTGTGAGAGTGAAGTACAAATGCCCCCTAGAGGAGATGTAGACCCATCGGAAGTGGGAAGATAGTGTTAAGGGGGATCCTTGGGTCAGCATTGATTTTGAGTTTTTTTCTAGGTTCTATATTTGGCGTTTTATAGGTAAGGCTTTTCTGAGGAAGTGTCAGAGCAGTTTTTGTGGCAACATCAGGTAGGAAGAGAGGACCCCTTAAACAGGTTTTTCACACTGAACGTTTGAAGACAGTGTGGGAATGCTTTAAAGTATGTTTAAAGTTTAAGTAAATTACAGTGCAGTGCATACAATGAAATACTGTGCAGCTATTTAAAAATTAAAAAGTTAACTATGTTGACTAGACTTATTGTGTGGATCATTTTGCAATATATACAAATATCCAATCATTATGTTGTACATCTGAAACTAATATGTTATATGTGAGTTATACCTCAATAAAAAATTTACATATATATAAACATGTATATTTGTATATAAAATGTGTATATTTAAATAGATATGTTCATGATTTAAGTGCAAAAGGTAGTTAAGAGGTTTCACTTATATAGATTAAAAATATAAAAATTATATGCATAGAAAAAAACAGAAGGATATATATATATACATGGTAGTACTTATTTCTGGATAGTGGGGTTAAAGGTGATTTTTTTCTTTTTTTCTAAGCTTATTTGCATTTTCTAAAATTTCTGCAATGACACTTCATTGTTTTATAATTAAAAGAGTGTATTAAAACTGAAAAGTTGATTTGTCCTCATTTCAAGAACCACTCGATAATTAATGACTAAGAATTTCTGGTTTACAGCTGTCTTAAAATCTTTATCTGTGGTTCTTCTGAGCATTGATTTAACAAACTTTTAAAGAATTGCTTAGACTTTCCAATAATGTATTTTTGTCTTATGCTTAGCAGGCAGTTCATTCTAGGTGCAAATAATATTTGTTATGAACAGAGCATAGTAGCTCTGACCTATAAAGAAATAAACTATTTGTAAGATAGATAAATTTTAATGCCTTACATAAAAATATGGGGATTTGGTTTTTTTAGACTACCTGATATAAGATATTGCCTTTTTATTTATTTTGCATAGGGAACAGAAATGCTTTGAACATGTGGTAGGTTTTTTCTTCTTCTTCATACAAATATTAAGGTGATTTAGAGGCTGAGTTTAGCTTTGGAATTTCATAAGATTTCTTACCCTTTCCCCGCCACTCCTTCACCTAATACACAACACACACACAAGTACATCTCTCTCTCTCTTATTCTGTCCACTGTTGTGCTTCTATTTGTTTAGGGAACACTATGCCAAGCTAAGTTTCCCCTAGTGGACAAAATTACTTTTGTCAGCTTGTGTGTGTGTGTGTGTGTGTGTGTGTGCGCGCGCGCGCGCGTGCGCGTGTGTGCGTGCGTGTGTGCGTGCGTGTATGTGTGCGTGTGTGCGTGCGTGTATGTGTGTGTGTGTGCGTGTGTGTGCGCGCGCGCTGACCGAAGCCAGCAAAGCCAGGCTTTTACTGCTTGTCTGCGTGTGTCTGCTGACCGAAGCCAGCAAAGCCAGGCTTTTACTGCTGGTGTCAGACCTTTTGAGAATAATATAATTACAGATAGGCATTTAGCTTACTTCTCTTAAGAGATTGTATCCACACATGTGTATGTGTTTACCTGAAATAAATTAGCATTTTGGAACCAGACTCAGTACATTGCTTTGTTAATGATTTTAGCACTGAAGGCAGCATCCTTTAATGAGAATCCCATGCTTTGTTATTGAAAGCCACTTTAATGAAAGGTACAGAGTGAAATGAAAATCACAGGGAGACTGCTGCACTGTTAAGTTAGGTTTTTAGCTTCTGTGATATCTAAAAATTATATTTAACTTAAAAATATTGTTTTAGGACTTTGCTGCTTATAAAATTTTCCCAAAGATTAAAGTATTCATATACCAATGTTTTATTTCCATTCCAAAAGGTTTTTAGTAACTGTTCCCCTGAATTACTCCTTAAAGTATTTTTCCTTTTAATTTTTAAATTTTAAAATGATTCGTCTATTTCCTTACCTTTTAATGAGGGCACCTTATCTAGTCATTTGTCTTCTAGGCATTTTTTGGCGAGCTCCTGCTGGTGTCTATCTAGTGGGTAGAGGCCAGGGATTCTACTAAATGTACTCCACAAAAAGGATCCAGCTCCAAATGTCAAAACTACCAAGATGGGGAAACTGTTCTCTAAAATAACCAACTTTAGATTTGACCACACATCTGAAACAGCAGCACCCAGAGAATTGTCAGCGCTTGATGGAGTTAGATAACCTGTCACACTCTACAGCCGCAGTGGCCTTCCAGGATGCTAATCAACAAGACAGCCTGTCTGTCTTTTACCTGTTCATTGCGGTATCTACCTAGGGGAGTTTTCCTCTCCCTTGTAGTATTAAGCTGAAGCTGTTTTACAGGATGAAATTTGAAAGACAGTACTAGAAGAAGCCTGATGTCAACTCATTCATCTTGCGTTTGCATCTACTCCTGAGCCATTCTGCTCAAGGATGACCGTTCCTATTTACAGAGCTATAATCTTGGTAACTTATTCTAGGCCTTAAGTCTGCCTGTGGTAACCTATTCTTGTGCTGAAGTTTTTCTTAAATCTAACCTAAAATCTTCTTGAGGCAGATTAACTTCAATTTTTGTTCATTTACCAGACACTTTGTATGCTACCTTTTATATACTAGAGGTATTTTGCTAGGGTAGCATCCTCACTGTGGTTGTCTGTAATATTAATCCTTTTAATAATCTTTATATTTAGCTGTTTTACCACTCTAATCTGAACTTCCTTTGAGTTGGAAAATGGAGTCTTGAGCCAGATAGAGTTCTGACCTACACTGTGTTTATGATGCTTTTAACGAGCGTTTTTGTTATTGCTGTTTACAACTCATGGGTCCTAACCTCTGGTCCTTTTTTTGCTATATTCCTAGTCCTTTCTCATCTTCTATTTATATATTTTATCCATCTCCACTCCTGCCTCCCCCATGTATGTTTGTTACTTGCTACTTCTACCTATTTCATTTGTTTTATTCTTATATTTTAGCTTCTGATTTGTTGTATATTATTCTGGACTTTACTTCTCATCTTGGAGGTATTTCCCTGCTCATTTTCTATTATTGTAATACTCATCGTACATGCTTTTGTGTCCTTCCTCTAAGTTGGTGACAGTGATATCCAGAATCGACCACATTAGGTCAGTTCTCAACTATCACCTAAAAGTCTGAGTAAACTCCTTATAAGGCTGACAGTAAATCATTGATACTCTTGCTTTGAACCTGGTCCTCTTACAAGTTTTACGTACTCTTTAATAGTTGAATGACAGAGCACTGGTGTCTAATAGAACTCTCCACGTTGCTGGAAATGTTCCGTATTTTGTGGTAGCCACTGGTGACATGTAGGAGCAGTTGCAATGTAGCTTGTGTGACCGAGGAGCTAAATTTTAAATTTAATTTAAATTAAAATTTAAATAGCCTCATATGGCTAGTGTCTACCTATTGGACAGTACAGATCTATTGCATTGCTACCAAAAATGTGACATTCCCAGACCATCACCTGGGAGCTTGCTAGAAATGCGGTATCTCAGACTCTACTGACTTAGATCTGCATTTTAATACGATCAGAGGTAATTTCTATGTGTGCTCAAGTTTAAGAAGCACTGATATTTGGCTGTACATTGGAGTCACATGGGGAGTTTTAACAAATATTGCCGCCTGGGTCCCAAACTCAGTGATTCTGATATAATTGGTATTAGGCCTGGGCATTGGGATTTGTTAAAAATATCTCCAAGTGATTCTAATTGCACAGCAAAAATTCGTGGTACTCAAACTGTGTGTGTATCCAAATCACCTGGGAATTTAATAAAAATATAGAGTCCCAGGCTCTGTCCTGCTTCAGCAAGCTTGTATCTGTATATTCTTTACTAGCTTTCCAGTGATTCTGATACACACATTTTGGATTTGAAAATCCCTGATCTAGAAGATAGTTTCCTACTTTGTTGGTAATTGTCCTGTAATCTAAAATGAAATACCTTGCTGAGTTGAAAGAAAATTGATTTGCTAGGTCTTTTAGTTATATGACTAAATGAATGATTTATGAATACTTGATTTTTTACAAAGTGTGCCACTCTTGGTGTTTGCATAGCATTTCCTGCTTGTTATATTATTATTATTATTATTATTATTATTATTATTATTTGGTGAATTTCTGATCTCTAAGATAAGTCCCCCCGCCCTTTTGCCAGATAGAAGTATCATTCACATTTTGGTTTTCAGAATTGCTAAGCATTCTGCTGATGACAGCTGGTAGTTTCATGGTCAGTTTGCCAGTTCCTTAAGGTGCAACTTGGAAAGTCTCTGGATCAGAATGTTCCATAATGTGGAAGTGTCTGAGAGTCGAGAAAAGTCCAGCCCCTTGTCCCCCAGCATAACCCCACGGACGGGGGCAGTCAGATGCAGCATGTCAGCTGAGGGAGGCTGGCGTGGAGGGATGATTTAGAGGCGTCTGGTACATTTCGATCCCAGCTCATTCCAGATTGTAGGTTGCGGGGTTAGAAGGGTTGTACTTGGCATGACTCTGTCTTGGGAGCTGGGAAAGAGAATGGATAACTGTGTGACTCTCTTTTCTTTAATGTGCTGTTAAGTTTTGTATCAGTTAAAACCTTTTGTTTTTGTGCTTTAGAACACTTTTTATATGCTAATGCAGCCATACTTTGTCAGGGCATGAATTTATTAGTTACTCATTTCTGGGAAATGCGATAGGAATTGATGAAGGTTTGGAAAATACGTTAAGAACAAACTCATTTTCTCTATGAAAATTAATTGCTATTAAAAGTGTGCCACAAAACTGTCTCCCTTCTCTAATGACCAACTTCAGTTTCAATCCTTGTGTTTCCTACAGTAAAATTTTAGGTGCAAATAGAAATGAATGTGTATAGTTTTTGACTTGTGACGATTTCAAGTCAGCAGCATTTTTCTATTGCTGTCCCTGTCCAGATAATGGAGGATCCGAAATCAAAAGTAATCAAATATGTCGTGGGAAAGCAGTAATAAACTGTCTTAGTGGAGATTAACTAGACTGTATGGTCCCTGGCAGCTATAGATAAGACAGAATGAGATGAAAGAGCCCAGAAAAGAAGGCTGTGTGAGCACTTGAAGGCCACAGATTTGCACCTTGTCCTCTTAAACGGAGGCCTGTCCTTATAGGAAACCTGATCCTGGCTGAGTTGTGGGGAAACAACTTGATAACCGGGACTTTCCTGGGGCACCCCTTTCTGGCGAGCTTCAGAGGACTTTGATCAAATAGGGGCTCTCTTGGTTTCACCTGAACCGAGAATGTAACTTCTGGACAGACCGATGCCTGGCTTAGAGACAGGGGCTTGAAGGCAAACCCTCACGAAACAGTTTCCCTCAGTGGGAGAACTGGAGCCTCTGTGGATCGGTGTGAAAAATTCTCCCAGAGCCCACAGACTGGGATGCATTCTTGTGATTTGAGTCGGCGGTACTTAAGTTTGCCATGAATGGGGCGAGCGTGGTTCCCCTAACCATGGAGGCAGACTCCTTAAAGGCTTGTTTCTTATCGGTTGAAGGAATGAAAATCAGTGGCCCACTGGGTGGGGCCTCGGTGGCAATGGGAGTGCGAAAGCCGCTCTTTAAATATTCTTGGTAGGCTTAGATGGTGGATCTAGACCATCACCTAGGTTAGTGTGGGAAGAAGCAGTTGAGCACCACCACAGTTTGAGGCCGAATTTTGGAAGGTACCCCAAAGGCACGGAGAAGGAGGCTGGTACCACAGCTCCAAGGTGGCAAATTCAGTGAAAATTATGGGAAAGATTTGGTCACAAAGCATGACACTTACCCCAGTTCTATGAAAGTGTATTCCTGCCTGCTTATGTTCCTTGCTTCACTACTGACTAGGCAGATGCTTAAATATAAAACTCAGATAGGAGGGCATACAATACTGGTAACAGTAGGGTACAGAGACCATTCGCAGGGGTAACTATTTTCAATATGTATTTAGCAAGTGAGAGAAGATGTTTTTTTGTTTTCCTTTTTGGGGGGCAGAGTGGGATATTTGGAAAGGCACGGACTCTGGTGGAATTTGGTGTTTTGAAATTTATGCTCTCTGACATTGTTTTTCCCTTTGGCTGTCTGTATACCTAGTGTGTGCCATTTCCTGGAGCTGTGTCAAAGTCCAGAAGGCGGCTTTGGAGGAGGCCCTGGCCAATACCCACACCTTGCACCCACATACGCAGCAGTCAATGCACTATGCATCATTGGCACCGAGGAGGCCTATGACATCATTAACAGGTACAGCCAAAGCCAGCAGTGATGGAAACCTAGAAGGGCTCCCTTCTTGCTGACACTGCACTGACCTTCGCTGTCTCCTGCCCGTCTCCCATTCGTTTCTCAGAGAGAAGCTTCTTCAGTATTTGTACTCGCTAAAGCAACCCGATGGCTCTTTTCTCATGCACGTTGGAGGTGAGGTGGATGTGAGGTGAGTGTGGTTTTTCTCAGGCTGCTGCATCAGTAGAGTCTAGAGTTTACCTGCCATTAGAGATGCCAAACCCAAGGAACAACATGGCAATCACACGCAGAATGACACGCAGGATGACGTGTTGGTGACACAGTATCATAATAATTGCAGATATGATACAGATGTCCTCAAGTGTCATTATCACTCGACTTCTTTTATGTAAATGTCAAAATATAAGTACTACAGAAACAAAATCAAATGGTTTTGTTTTAAAAGTTAAAAATACATTTATTTGCTATAAAATAATAGCCTAACATATAATAACTGTATTATGTCATATAATCTTTCATCTCTCTAAGATAGAAGGGAAGAAGAAAGCCAAGTAGGGACTTATTTATATTTATATTTTCTGAATGAATTTGATGAAATCATGAGAGTGTTTAACACCTGCATGAGAATTGCTTTGGGAGGTCCAAAAACGCTTATGGGCCAGCAGAGTGCAATGAAACAGGCTTGTTTTAACTGATTGAAACCAGTTGGCTCAAAATAATTTTACTCAAGAATTATCTGATGTACCTAGCAAGTAGTTTATTCACCTGGCAGGAGGCTGCTAATGAAGCATATAGGGAATTCACTGAATGAGTCATTTCTCAACAGCAAGGGACCATTGAGATTTTATACCAAATTCTTATTACTTAGTCTGAGAAATACATTTTTTTTTAAAAAATGAGGTTTCTGTATCAAAGCCATCTTATCACCAATTTGTAAATGTGTTTGCTTCTACACAGTTGATTAATATTCTGACTTAACCACTGGTTTGAAAGTATAAGGGAAGAAAAATACATGAAAGTTGTGGAACATAAAACACATTGCAGATAAAAGTAGGTAATCAGGCTGCCTTTAGTAAAGGATTTCCTTCTATCTGTAACCTGTCTGTTCAAACAAAAAATTAGTCTAGTTATCTATTGGAAAAACTTTCTTCACTCTCAACACTTCCGACACCAAATGTGTTTTTTTCCTCATATTAGACAATTTTGACATTTAACTACGCAGTTAGGACAGACCCCACGGGTTAAGGGCTCAGTCCCACAAGACTGTCCCCACTTCAGATTCCAATCACAAGTAATGTGTACCCAGGTTACCCACACTTCTGCCTGACTTAGCTATAAATCGGCAGTTTCCTTGGCCCCCTCTTTAGCTTCAATAATTTGCTAGAACGGCTCACAGAACTCAGGGAAACACTTTGCTATTACTGGCTTATTCTAAAGGTATTATAAAGGATACAAATTAACAATCAGGTGAATAGGTATATAAGGTGAGGTCTGGAAGGGTCCAGAGCACAGGAACTTATGTCCCTGTGAGGTTGGGGCATGCCACCCTCTTGGCAGGCACATGGATGCATTCTCCAACCCAGAAGCTCCCTGAGCCCCCAGGATTTTTATGTGGGTTTCATTAAGTAGGCATGACTGATGAAATCATTGGCCATTGATGATTAACCCACTCTCCAGCCCCTTTCCTTTGTAGAGTGGGACTGAAGGTTCCAACCTTGTAATCACATAGTTCCACTCTCTGGCAACCAGCCCACATCCTCCAGAAGTCACCTCATGAGCAAACTCAAGTGTGTTTGACTGGGGCTTGTTATAAATAATAAAAGGCTCCTATCACACCTATAACTAAGAACATTCCAAGGATTTTAGGAGCTCTGTGCCAGGAACTGGGGAGGAGACTAAATATATATATTTATTATATTACAATATATCAGTATCTGTTGTTAAAAGATAAACCAAGGCACATTTAAAATTTTAAGAGTTTATTTGAGCAAAAATTGGTTTGAATCAGGCAACATCCAATCTAGCAGATAGAAAGGAGCTCCAAGGAGCTGTACAAAAAGACTTTTATAGGCATAAGGGAGCAGGGACAAAAATGTTATACTAAGCAAAAAAGCAGATTGGTTATTGCAAAGTTACACTCCTTGAGGGCATGGAAGGAGTTTATCAGGCAGATGACCTAACTAGTGCTGATCTGGTGATTCCCTATTGACTGGTTGAAGATTCCATTTCTGGGAGAGCTGAATCTGTAACTTAGTATTGGTTTAGCATAAGTAACTCTGTTTTGGGTCTGTTTTCCATTTAAAAAATTTTTTTTTATTTTTTATTTTATTTTATTTAACATGGTATAGGGAAACGAACCAGTATAACTATTGAGGAAGGCAGTACAGTATTATGTTGATGCTTCTTAAGGGAAAAGTAAAAAAAAAAATTTTGCCTCCATGGTCACTATATGTTCATTCCTGTTCTATAGATATTCTAAGCAAATGTGTATAGTTTGAAATTTAGCTTTTTAAAATGTCTTGAGATTATTAGGTAAAGCAAACAAACCCTACAAGATCACTCTGGTATTTTATCCTATACTTAGGTGACAGAGTGTAGAGTGTATTCGAGAAAGGAGAATTTCAGTGTTCTTGAAGTGTCGAGAGCCTGGTGGACAGTGGTAGAATTGGACCTAGAAGGTCAGGCTCGGAACAGAATGAGGGGCTCTGAAATCTTAAGAAGCCTGGACTGTATTTTAAGGTCAGTGGGAAGCCACTGACTAATTTTAAGTATGGAGTGATGTGATCTGACTTGTATTTTATTAGTTCCCTAGTGGCAGTGCGTAGATTATAGTGTTTTAGTAAAAGTCTTCTGGTTTCAGGGCTGGAGGAGGGAAGGAAGACCGGACAGGAGATTGATCCAGGTAATGGTGGCTTGGAGTTGGGTGAGAGCAGCAAGGATGGAGAGTAGTTGACAAATTTGAGAGATGTGATGCCTAATTGGAGGGAGAGAGGAAGAAATTGCACCAAAAAGATGTATTTTGTTCCCTTCCCATTTGAGTGTGAGATCTAGGACTAGTGGCTTCTGGCATGATGTCTCAGTTCTTCCATTTATGAGAGGCCAACTTTGTTTTTGGCGACCTCCCTATCTCAGAAGTTACATTAGGATTTAAGAGCAAATACTTCTGAACCCCTTTGAGAGGCTCCAGACCTGAAGGAAATGAGATCAGACCTTCGAAGTTGGCTTTTGGTAGATGATAACATTTTGCATAATTCAGCCTCTGCTGTGCCTTTGGTCAATGCGATTAGGCAGTTGAAAATGCTGGTAGAATAATAATGCTCGCAGCTTCTGAAGAGATCCCTTTGGAATACCTTAGTAAGTTGGGCTTAGTATTATGTCTGTATTGAATAATATGGAAACTAGACCCTTTTCCCTCCTTTTTCTATTTCTTAGGAGGCCTTATAAAAAGGATTTGTAAGTAAAATTGGAATTTTTGTCTTCAACATAAAATGTTGGAGGTGCTGAGATGCTGAATATTTGAAAAAACCTGTAGAAGGGAAGAAAAGACAGTTCGTAGTTGTATTCCATAGTAGAGGGAGAAGCTGAAATAAAAGGAATCCTGAGAAGAGTTAGGGCTGGAAAGATGGAATGGCAAGAATTATTCCAAATCTAGTAGAATACTGTTAAAAAAATAAAAAGACATGCTCTTTCTTTTTCATTTAAAAATGTGTATGTATGTGTGTGTGTACTGGTGGGGTGCTTGAAATCAAAGCTCCTTTCTCCCTTAAGAAGCCTAAGGAAATATGTCTGGGTAGGCCTATCTATTCCTGTTCCTCTTATTTGGTCTAAGTGGCCATTAGGGTCTGATGACCTTCTTTACAATGTGTTAGTTATAGAAAAAATATAGTCAACCTTTAATGTGTCCATGTCATAAACACAGAAATCCTGGACCTAAAATAGTACTGACATCTGAATGAATGAGCATATCAGAAATACCTGAATGACACCATGGAATTTTGGGAACCATTATAGGTCTTTGAAAGAAGAGCTGAATTCACTTTTGACATGAATTGATATGGCTGTTATTTCCTCTGATGGAGATTTGACCATGTGGAGGTAGGGAGAATAGAATGTCATGTTCTTTCACTGAAGCCATGCTGTGAGCAATTCTATCCAAAGAGAATGTCAGACCTCTCAGTCGGAGACCCAGGACTGACCATGTGCCAAGAGTGAGGACAGGAGGTGATTACAGCTTACTAGGCCGAGAGCACAATCCGCCCAAGAAGGTCAGCGAGCCTGATTTAGGATCTTCCTTGAAGCTTAACACTTTCCCCTCTATTTCTGTCCTTCCAGAAGTGCATACTGTGCCGCCTCGGTAGCTTCTCTGACCAACATCATCACCCCAGACCTCTTTGAGGGCACTGCTGAGTGGATAGCAAGGTGAGAGAAGCTGGGATTTGTCCTGGCTTCTTAGACAGTCGGTGGTCAAGACTTCTGAAAAACAAAGAAAATGGAAAAGGACTGGAAGGGAATATAAAATTACAAGAGATGTGTTAATGGTTATAGCATTGTGAGTTTCAAAAAAAAAAAAATACTTTTAAAGTTATCTTTTTTCCAAATTTTCTTTAATGTTGTATTATAGTTTAGATCGGCAAAGATCAAAAACTTGGGTTACCAGTAATGGTGGGAGTCTACATGGATTTAACCAGTTTGGAGAGCAATTTGATAATATCTCCAAGTAGCCCTTGCTGATGACCCAGTAATTTCACTCCTTCAGAAACTCTCACACATATACGTGAAAGAGACAAAGATAGGACTTGTTTATAATAGCGAAAACCTGAAAACAAGTTAAATGTTTATAAGCGCAAAATGAATAAGTAAGTTTTGGTATAGTCACACCGGAATAAGATACAGCAGTTAAATGAACCAGAGGTACGTGTATCGATACGGATAAATCTCGAAAACAATGTCAAGTGAAAAAAAGGGATGTTAAAATGTGCCCATCAGCATATTCACTTAAAATTTGAAAATATGCAAAACAATTTTATATTATTTATGAGAAGAATCACATGTAATAATATAAAAAGAAGCATGGGAATGATAAACACTGGGTTCAGGATGGTGATTATATCTGGAAAGAGAGCAAATGAAATGAGATCAGGGAGGCCTACGCGTTTCCAGAGGAGACTTCAACTCTATCTGTAATTATTTATTTCTTTAAAATATTTTTAAGAAAGAAACAACCCTGAGATGTATTTGGTTAAATCAAAGCTAGATGTTAGATGCATGTATGCTGTATATATTATTTGCCATACTTTCATAGATGCTTCATATATTTCATAATTTAAAAAAACCTCAAAAGTTATAGTAGATACATACGTGCTATTTAAAATGATATCCAACTGTATTTTATTTTCTTTGCATTTTTATTTTTATCAAAGTAGAACTTATTACTATGAAAATATAATTTACAGCTAAACCAGATGATATACTATGAACATATTTACTTTTTTGTATAAATTTTATATTCCTAGGATTAATCATTACCTCTTTTTTTTAAGTATATGTGTCATGAATTCATTCCTAAATTTTCTGCCAGAGCTATAAAATTACTCTTAATACAGTCAAACTCTTCAGGTAATGTATTGATTCTCTTTTGTGTGTGTATTTGTGTACGTGTACATGTGTATATGCGTGCATGTGTTTGTTCTGAGTTATCTGCCCTCCTGCGTAAGCCCGGACAGATTGCTCCCAGCTTGCTGCACAGCAGGCCTCCAGAAGCTTCTTTTCAGCATGAAATTTACTTCACTTCTCTCCTTTGTTGAAACTCTGTCCTTTTTCTTGGTTTACTGACTTATTGTAAGGAAGCCTGTGCCCCAATAGATAGATCCCTCAAAAGAACACTTGGGTGATATCTTTTAAAGATTTTATGTATATTTTTATTCTAGTCTCACATTTGATGGATAGGTTATTTAGTTAGAGATTTCTAAGTTGGAAACTGTATAAATTGTACTCCTTCAGAATCCTTATCTTTTGGCTTCCAGTGTCATTATTTAAAAGGTTGATAATAATAATAACCAACATTTACTGACTACTTGCTATGTAATACTCAGTAGTGGAGTAGCTACAGTTTAGAGATTGAGAGTATAGACTTTTTGTTCTTTTTTATACTTTCTTTTGCTCAGTTGAGATTTCCCATCTTTTTATCCATCACAAGTATATTTTTCTTCACTTCACGGAGGCAAATATATAATTATAATACCTGCCTTAAAGTCCTTGTCTGGTAATTTTAACATCTAGGTATCCTGGAGTTAGTACATCACATTCTCCTGAATCTGCATATGTCAGGTAATTTTTGGATTGTATCCTGGACATCGTGATGTTTTGTTGTAAAGACTAGATTCTGTTAGATTGTTCTAAAGAGTGTTGATGTTTTTGTTTTAGCAGGCAATCAACTTGGTTAGACTCAAACTGCAGATTGTCACACCTGCTGGGCGTTAGTGGCTCAGCTCTCTGATCAGGTCTTGGTCAGAAGCTGCTTCTGGTTTGCTAATACCTGTGTGATTCAGGGGTCAGGTCAGATAGAAACTTAAATGAAGTTTAAATACTGAATTTGGGGTTTTCCTTCTCTGACTCTCCTCTTTCTGGGATTCTTCCTCAATTTCTGTCAGCCTGATTCATCTTACCAGAAAGATGGTAGGCTTTCTATTTGTGTCAGCTGCCTGCCCCTGACCCCTGACCTACTGCTGCCACCACTGGGCGACTAGCTGTCCTCATGGCAAACCAGGAATAGGGGAGGGAAGAGGAGGGACTGACTCTCCAACTTTCCAATCCCCACCAAAATCTGCTTGCCTCTTTTTCAGTCAGTTAGCCCTCAAGAAGTCTTTTTGTGCATTTTGTCCAGAGTGTGTTGCTGTTATTTGCAGGAGGATTGGATTGCTAGACACTTACTAGATGTGGAACTCCAACTGCTTGGGTTTGAATCCCAGTTCTGTCATTTATTAGCTTTGTGCCTTCTACATGTCATAGTTTCCTTATATGTCAGATGGTGTGATGTTGGATTTGATATTAAGCTGAAATACAAAGAAATTAAGTAACCAAAACCTGTTATGGTAACCATTGTGCTTCCTTCCTCCCAATGTCATTGTGTTCCCAATCTATTGTATATTTTTTCTTTTATTTCTCTTTTTCTCTATCCCACTCCACCCCTCTCTAGAAGTTTCTGGCATCTTTATTCTTGCTCTTTGGAAACTTCATGCCGATGAACCATGATATGGATTTCTTTCATTCATTGTGCTGGGTACTCAGCAGGTATCTTCTTCTTCTTCTTTTTCTTCTTCTTTTTAAAATTTTTATTTATTATTATTTATGCCTATAGCACCTGGTCTTCTTAGGTGGTCTCCCATCCAAGTACTGACCACTTCTTTTTCTTCAGCAGGTGTCTTCAGCCTGGAATTGCATATACTTTAGTTCCAAGAAACTTTATTATATTTCTTCTCCTCCATTTTCTGTTTATTCTCTTTATAACATCCTGTGAGCAGGTTGGTATTCTAATTTTACAAACATTTTTTTGCCTATTTTTCATCTCTTAACCTTTCTTATATACTTCTGAATGATTCCTTTACTTGTTTCTTCTAATCCTTCTGTTGGTTTTATTTTTGCAATTCTATTTTAAATTTAATAGAGCTTAGTTTATCCTTATTTATAAAAAAGACCACTTCTTTTTTATATAGTATCCTGTTCTTGTTTCAGGAATATTTTATTCATGTGGTGTTTTATTTGGTATATAATATTTTATCTAAAGATATAACTTTAAAAAATGTACCTCTGTTCTCTGCATTATTTCCTCTTAATTTATTTTTGTTTGTTTGTTTTGGTCTCTCTCTCTCATATTAGAGACTTTGCTCAGATGTCTGGTGTTTAGGAGTCAAGCGCTGAAAAGCTGATGGGGAGCTGTGTGTGCCAGGGTGGGCTAGCGTCCAGCCATTCATCAGGGAATTCTCATATATCAATATCTGTAGAGTTATTTCCTTGGGCTTATGAGTTTCTCTAGAGAAGAATCTTCTAGATTCCTGGTTGGCATATGAATTTGGCAACCAGCTTTGTGAAATACTAGTAGGAAAAGGGGTTGGCGGTATTTGTGTTCAGATGGTAGACTCTCACTTAATCCCCCTGCTCAGTACAGTGCCTCCTTCCTGCTCTCAACTGTGCTGGATGTCTTGGAATTCCACCTCTGAATTAATCCCCCGAAACCTCCCATCTTCTGCTGAGTTCGAGTACTTTTGCTGGGTACCAGGAGGTCTGATTCTTATATAAATTCGCAACCAGTCCAGTTGATTCAAACGCATCCTACTTTTTAGAGGTACCTTGTGTCTCCAGTCGCTGGGCCTTTCACTGGAGCAAATCGCCTTGCTTTCTATGGCTTTGCGCACAACTCCCTGGTCTGGCTTAGGTTTCTCTATTCTGTTAAGTCAGTTATTTCTTCTCTCTCCCATTTTCCAGCTTTCACATTTTATCTCCTGTCTCTATTCATGTCTTCTTAAATTCTCTACCCTTGTGGGTTTGTCCCTTTTTAAATTTCTTTACTTACACGTTACTAGGCTATTGTGTTCCATCAATTATGTTTAGCTAGAAGACACTCCCAAGAATTTTACTAAGTTGCTCCCATGCATGTAAAAACAAAGGGAAAGAAAGTAGGGGGAAAAATATATATATGTATAGTGTGCGTGTACCATGTACCTGTGTGCAGAGAGAGAGAGAAAGAGCCTAAGACACAGAAACTGACAGTGGTCACTTCTAGTGAGCGGGACTAGGAGGCCAGGGTAGACAGCAGACTGACTTGTCATTGTTTATTTTTATACCGTTTGAATTTTTTTAATTAAAACAAATTTAAAGACAAGAAAAGTTAAGAAAAGGAAAGATTTTAAGAGGTCCTTTGCATATTCTTTACTCATCAGAACTTTCAAACTTGAGTTTTTTCTATGCTCCATGTATCCAAATGCACTGGAAAGAAACTTGGAGTGTGCGTTGGGGTGGCAGTAGGGTCGGGGGACGGAGGATGCTCAAGAATCTGTACAGGGAACGGTAGCCCGTTCTTGACTCTGCACTCTGTCGGCACTGTGATCTCCCTGGGCAAGTGGCTTCTCTGAAAAAGGTCCTTGAGTTCCCAAGATGCCCAACCTCAAGGAAGAGGTGTGTAGAAGACAAGAGGTATTGCTGCTTTCTTCCTCTCCCACCTGGAAGTTCTATCAGCTCTTGGATTAAGTGCCCATCTACCTGTGCACCTGTGCTACAGCTAGGGTTGTGAGGCAAACACGCCTGTAGGAAGTGTGACTCTTACATACATAGATCGCGATCATTGGAAGAAAGTTCTTTGTTATAGGAGTATACATCAAAAAGAAAATGTCTTTCCCAGATAAAACATGTATATTGTAGAAAAGCAAAAAGAAGAAAATCTAAACCACTGGTAATCTACCACCAACGACTCTTTTGATGTATGTCTTTCTAGTCCAGAAAAATCATAGAGTACATTATCACTTTATAACTTTTCATGTAATATATCTGGAATATCTTTAAATATACTTCTTTAGCATAAATGATTATAGTATTCTGTTGTCCAGATATATCATAATTTATATAACTAGTCCCCTAATATTGAGCTTCTGGATTGTTTCTAATATTTTACTGTTATAAATGGGAATACAGTAAACATTCTTATAATCTGACCTTTGGACATATTCTTATTTCATAGGATTAATTCCTAGAGATGATCCTCTATTTCTGGGCTAAATATTATGCACGTTTTATGACTAGAAAATATGCTTCAAATAATAATAATTGTAAGAACAGTTATAAAAGTATACATGTTTACTATAGAAACTTTTTGAAAATACAGGAAAATAAAGGGGAAAAATATCAGCAATAGATTTGTACTACAAGATAACCATAATTAGCAATTATTTTGCAATTTTATTTTAACCTGATGCTTATACTATACATGTGATTTTATAACTTTTTCCAAAAGTAATGATACTATGTTTATTACATAAGTAGACTATTTCTGAGTTTTTTCTTTTTCTTTTTTGAGGAAAAGGCATTTCTGAAAGTTAATTAGCTGCCATCTTTCCATTCATGGCTGTGATGATTTATGCCTTAATCCGAGTGAACTCATTTTTTGCCATCCAGGGTCCTGTGCTTCTGCCCATCCACTCAGCCTGGACGCTCATTGGTTGACAGTAACCCTTAAATCTGCTCTTCTCAATCTTTTCCTAGGTGTCAGAATTGGGAAGGGGGAATTGGTGGCGTGCCAGGGATGGAAGCCCATGGTGGCTATACTTTCTGTGGCCTGGCTGCACTGGTCATCCTCAAGAAGGAACGTTCCTTAAACTTGAAGAGCTTATTGGTAAGTGTCTGTTGATTCCTCTTCCTTTCAGGCCCCCTGGCCCCTAGTGATGTGACTACTCAGATAGGCTTCAGGAAGGTTTGGCTGTGGGAGGACCTAACAGAATTCCCGTCTTGAGCTCCTGAACTGAAAGTCCTGTAATGAAGCTTTAGATAGAGTTGTTGGAGCGCTCAGCACTGTTCTGAGAAAGTGGAAGGAGTGACCATGTGCTCTCAGTTTCTGCTCCCTTCTTCCTGCCTTTCCATCTTCCTGCTCTGAACTTTCTACATAGTGTGTTAGGCTAACTCCAGAGCCTTCTTGAGTCCTTCAGACATCTGGTATGAGTCAGAGTACCTTCCTCATACTTCTAAAAAAAAATGTAGCTTTGGTCTCTTAAAATTAGGGGTTATCGTGTATCTAGAAAGAATATCCTAAGAGAAAAAGTTACAAGAAGAGCTTTGAGGCATTTTAAAGCCAAGCTTTTATTACCTACCACACTATGTGAACATTTGGTAACTACATTTAAATAAGCTGGGCAGAACTGAGTAATTACATTGAGCAGGCAGCCCAAGCATTTATCTGGACTCCAAGCTCCTGACCATTTAGAATGAACTCAGAAAGCAGTCACTTTTAGGGAGTTGTAAGATTATAGTTAAATTATCATTGGAGACCTAGTGCACAAACATACACGCACCTACAGCCACCAAGGAGATGTCTTTGGGGAGCATTTACCTCCTAACCCTGACCTCAAAGCAAATCAACTGCGATTGACATCCATCTTTTCTCCCCAAGTTCAGATGTCAGGCTCCTATCATAGGAACTCATTGCGAGCTTCCGAGAGAGTTTCTATTATACTTTGTAGAGATATGACCAGCAGCATTTTGTCCTCATCCTTAAGAAGCCTCCTAGAACATAACGCTTTTTGAAGGTTCTTAAAGGCTTGAAGTTTCATGCTGAAATGGCCAACTTGTGCACTGGCCTCTGAAATCCACTAAAATCTGATTATTTAACAAGACATGCAACATAAAAGTTCTATTTCCCAGGCAGAAATAAAGACTATAATTAGTGAGTGCTTCAGTTACAAAGACAATATTTGAGATTTGAACTCTGTCTCTCCCACTTCCCAGCCATGTGACCTTGGGAAAATTGTCTAATCTGTTTTAGCTTCAATTTTTTTTTTCTTCTATAAAGCACAGAGAATAATAGTTCCTTGGAGGTTAAAGGAGAAAACATACATAAATGGCTTGGCATATAGTAGGTGCTCAATAAATGTTAGTGTCCTTCTTACCCAAATTATTCCCTCCCCTCCATTTGCTTTGAGAGAATTAGGACCCATATCTGAAGGATTTTATATAGTCAATAGAATAAACTTATGGGTTTAGGCACTGGAAAAAATTAACCTGGCTTAAAAACACTTAATCTGTGGAGTAAGTGAAAATGAAGAATGGACTTTCCACTACAGTGCCTGTTATCTCTTTTCATGAGTAATGCTTAGCTTACTTACATTATCATCCCAAATGCACTGGTTCATTTAAGACTGACTGAGGATGTATTAGTGCCTGTACCTGCAGTGAAATTTTTTATGTCTTTCTTTTAAGAATTTGGGATTGTGACTCTCCGTGGGTAGGTGTTGCTTTGAACAGGGATATAATCTGAACTCTGCAACCAGTAACTTAAAGCGGGGCTGGAAGACCCTCCCGACCCACTTCTGCAAGGGTTCTTAGTGGCTGTTTTCAGGAACTCAGTCTAACAAGAATCTAGTTACAGGGGAAACACCCTACTCTGCACTGTTCTGTTTGGTAAGGCAGCTCTGTACGTCCGTGGCTGGCGGCTGGGAAGGAAATGGAAATGTCATTATCTGCTCGGCCACCTGGTTCTGCTCATTCCTAGAGGCCCAACCCATGACTATCTTGATCTTAGTAGTAGAGTGTGTTTAGAACACTTGGAGATAAGCAAGGAATGGAAATATCATATGTGACCATGAGTGACATCAGGAGCCATTTTATAGGTTCAAAGTAAAAGATTTTCTTCTGTCAGCCAGCCAGGTTCCCTAGAGGAGCAGAGAGGCTAGACCAGACAGAGCCACCACTGGTCATCAGGACTGATGGCTTCTGCTTCAAGTTCTGTGAGTGACTTGCTAAGAGACCTGGGATGAATTTCCTCAGGTGCCAAGTAAAAGTCAGGAACAGTTTGAGATCATCTGATGAGATGTAGCACAAAATTCTATTTATCTGCATTTAATAAACTTCCCTGAGCAAGGAAAGCGATTAGAAATGAGCCCCTCGTGGTCTTGCCTTAAATTTCCTAGTTAAGCCTTGTGTATTAAGAGACATTTGCGGGTCTCCTCATAAGCCAGCGTGGCCTCTTTGTTCTCTCAGCACCGCAACCCATTTGGAACCTGGGAAAAGGTGGTTAATGGTGCGTTAGGCACTGAGCAGAGATCAATGCTGGTTGCCTCGGAAGGACTGGCTTGAATGCTCCACTCGATGTCTGTGGCAGTGAGGGGACGGAGGTGAGAAGCCAAAGCACCAGGAAGTCGAAAGGCAGGAACCCTCCCTTGCCAGATGGGCCTCTGGACATCTTGCTGGATTTTGTGTCTCTTTTAGCCTACAGCTGCCTCTCCTTTCTCTGTCTCATTCTCAGCAATGGGTGACAAGCCGGCAGATGCGGTTCGAAGGTGGATTTCAGGGCCGCTGCAACAAGCTGGTGGACGGCTGCTACTCCTTCTGGCAGGCGGGACTCCTGCCCCTGCTCCATCGTGCACTACACGCTCAAGGTGAGCCTGGCAGCTGGGGGTGGGGATAGGGAGAGATGCGGGGCATGGAGGGGATGGGGAGGTACATGATTTCCCTCAGCTGCTAATCAAGTCAGGAAGCCAGAGTGGTTTTTCAGAGGGGTTGAAATAAGCTCTGTCTGTCCTAGATTTTGACAGCCCAGTCTGGATCCTCCTACTTAGGCATGCATGTACAGACTAGGAGTTAGTTCCAATGGTTTAGGGGTCATGGCTGCTTCAGACTGGCCGTGGCTGGGAGGAGGCGGCCCCCATTGTGACTGCCACCTCAGCTGGATGTGAAGCTATAGTTTCCAATGCCGAGCTCCATATTGGTCATATCAGAACTGAAAACCCATGCCGTGCACTTGGTCACAACAGTGACAAAAAAGGCAGTTGCATAAAGGTGCAGAGAACCAGAACCCACAGAGAAAAGACTCACGGTGTCTATCTGGCTGTGTAGTTGCCACCATTAGAAATGTCAGATTTAAGAATTGTTGAAGACCACCACAGGTGGCCATCAATCAAATGAAAAGATGTGAAATGCACGTTTGTTTCACCTGTACCACTGGGATGGAAGGTCCCATGTTCACTTCTGTGGCATCTCAAGAGGGAGTCAAAACCAAAGCAGTTACATAGCAAACAGAGCTTCTGGGAGCCTTCCCTTATTATCTTGTGAAATCTCAGGCCGCCTGCTGACTCCCGAATCATCTTTCTCATTTATTTTGTGTGAGTACAGGACGTCTCTAAGGAAGCTAGTGGGAGAGGGGAAGTCATGCCCCGGCTGGTCGCTGATCTGTTCTTGGAGTGAGATCCCTTGGCCCAGAGGGAAGCTTTGCTTTAGACTTAGTAGTTGGGCAATTAATTGCTCAAATGTGGAACATGAGATTCTTTTCTATTGCCCTCTCCCACACTTTTTTTCTTCTTTTTTCTTATTTGGCTGTTCTGAGTCCCTTTCTTTAGTTTCTTAATTCGTTTGAGTCGTGGACACTTCTGATACTGAACTGATGTAAACAGAGCCCCTGTTCTGTCCTCCCGTTCTCCCTGTTTATGTGTGTCCTGAGATTCCTTGGCTTAGGGCCCCTGGGCTTTCGGTCTCATCGCCCTGACCGTGGAGCCTGCACAGTCTCTGGCTTGACCCCTATAGTGGGGAGGTCAGGAAGTCTCCCAGAGTCTAGCATTTTCCAGGCAGAAATAACTTGGGTTTTAGTGATCTCTTTATTGGAACTGGTGAGGTTGAGCCCTTGGTAAAACCGTCAGCTTCTCGCAAACCCGTTCCTGGCAGGGATAAGACGCGGTCATCCTGCAGCTGCCCGGAAAATCCGGAGAGAGCTGTAACAGGAGTGCTACCTGCCAAAGTCTTCAAGGGGGGCCCTGGTTGACATTTTGTTTATTGTAGCTCAAGTTCTGGAGGACTAGTCACATTCAAAGCTTTGCCTGTGGAAAAGGTTGCTTGTGAATCTTAGTGTTTTCATTTTTTTTCACTGCCTGGGAGAAGGCCCGTGCTGGGCCTGATGCTCACCCACTTTTCAGCAACAGTGAACTTGGAACAGTTAGGCCTCTGAGAAGAAGGGAAGTTTTTTGACCGGTAGGCAAAATAATGATGTTGGGAGTCAAAAGGAGATGCAGTGTAGAAAAATATTCAGAATATACTGTGGTCAAAGTTAGGTTTCAAAGCAGTATGTATGTAATTCTAGTTTTAGTGAAGAATTGACTCTAAAAAATTAACAGAAGGCATCTGCTCTGTGAAATGATAGAAGATGTTTGTTTTCTTTCTTATTTGCATTCTCTAATTTTTCTATAATTAATATATATTTCTTGCATAAAGAACACAAAAGTTATTTTACAAAAAAAAGAAACTATAAACAAAATAAGTAGCAAGGTGGGAAAAAATATTTGTGACAAATGATGAAAGGCTAATTTCTTTAATTTGAGAATGTCATCCAAATCAATAAGAAAGAGACGAACAACCCAATTGAAAAACAGGGATCTGAAGAGACAGAAAAAGGATCTGAACAGACAGAAAAAGAACAACTACTATTATTACTTCTACTTCAATTGCTGTTACAATGGGCAGCTGACTTTCCAAGCGCTCACCGTAAACTAGGGGCAGAACTGATGCACATATATTTTCTTATTTAAGTCCCAAAACAACCCTATGCAATAGGTACTCTTGTTATCCCCATTTTACAGACGAGGAAACAAAGTACAGTGAGGGTAAGTGATTTGCTTCATAAGACCTGATTGCCACCTCCGACAGTATCCGAGCCCTGTTTAGAACCACCACAGGTGGCCATCAATCAAATGAAAAGATGTGAAATGCAAATAAAAACAGTGGGACATTAGCCCTTTTTACTGTCAGATGGACAGAGGTTAGAAACCTTGATACCTATGCTGGGGAGTATGGAGAAACCAGCACTTTCGTATTGTTAGCTAGGGTGGAAATAGGCACATCATGTTTTGAAGGGCAGTTTGGAGACATCTATTTAATTTATTGGAACCCAGCAAGTGCACTGTCAGGAATTTACCTTCAGAGATATTAGCAAACGATGTCTATTGAAGTAGAGTTTTAAAAGCAAACAACCCCATTGCCCACCAAAAGGTCAACAGTTAAATAAATTATGATCTCCATACAGTAGCTGCATATGATGGGCTGGCTGATGTAGATAGCTCCCCAGGACACAACTGAAAGTTTGAAAGGCCAGGCCTAGAGCAATCTGCATGCGACATCCACACAGCCTTCCCTGGAAGTGACATAAAGCCCTTTTAACAGTGGGTGTGTTGGAGAGAGGGGAGGAGACTTTCTTCTTAAATTTTCTATCTGTACCTTTTTTTTTTCATACTCTGCCTTTTTTTTTTTTTTACCATGTACAATATTACTTTTATTTCAGTAAATGAACAAATACACTTTTAAAAGGTGATCGTATTGCTAACCAAAAAGATAACAAGGGACTGACACACATCAGCACATGAATCCAGGCTGGACCCTGACTCGGCAAGTGGCCATGAATAGTTAGTTCCATGTGGGCAGCTGCCTTAACACGTGTAGAAGACAGTATTTGAGTAGAAGCATGAGTTATTACTATCTTAAAAATATCAAATGCTGACTAAATTAGTGAGTTATTTTCGTGGAGCAATAAGAAAGCAGCAGGACTGTGAGTTTCTGTCTGGATTGATAGTTACTCGTTGCTTGCTTGTCCTTTGGAACATACCCCAAGCCTGTATTTGTCCGCCTGTGAAATTGAGCTACATGTGGCTGCACCTGTCACTTACTGTTTGGAAAAACGTTTGATTTCTTAGATAAAAGGAACCTTTGAAATGTAAAATGACATTTATATTGGGAGCTGTAATTTGAGGGACAGGTATAAAGAATTTAAAAGCCTGATTCCAGTGCACAGTTATCACCCCATAATTATATCTCCCTTCATCTCACTATGAGTCTGTGTGCTGGTGTGCAAATTCAAGATCTCTGGAAATTCCTTATTGAGTTTATGAACTTGGAACTTCTAGACTTCAGTAATGTAAGTGGTAACTGAAGCACTCTGTAATCTATTTAATAATAAACCTACCATTTTTTTTCAGATTCCAACTTTAGCAATAGGTTATCATTTACCTTATAATAAGTCTTATTTCTTATAGGATATGAAATGAGTATATTTTTATATAGATGTTTAATGCAGTTATCCTGAAGTTTAGTAAATATGCTTTCTTGAGATATAATTCACATACCATACCATTCACCCATTTAAAGTATACACTTCAGTGATTTTTAGTATATTCAGGGTTGCACAGCCATCACTATAATCAGTAATCAATGTAGAATTTTCATCACCCCCCCGCCAAGAACTCCTGTATGGGTTATAAATGTGCTTCTTTAAAGAAATCACAAAGAAAATATCAACAGTGTGATTACAGTATATGTGTAAA